CAGATCCACAAAAGTTTCGTTTATAAAAAAGAATTGTACTGCTGCTTCTAAAAGACACCCCGTATATCTAATACTTAATTTATTCAAGTAAACCTCATGCCTTTTTTATAAAACAACAAACATTCTTTTCTGCTACTTTGCCTTTAAACTGTTCATTCTAAACGAATTCATTGCCATTAGAATGGTATTAAGTCAACAGTTTTTTGTCTGGTCTTATCTCTTACGTTTTTTTCTTGAATATCTTGAAGGTATCATACAGAGTTACAGACACAAATACATACACACAAACGATCTAACAGTGTACGTGCCTTCAGTAATTTGTAGGACGCGAATAAAGATGGTACGTTTTAATAACGGCCGGTTAATTAAATGTTTTCTCCGGAAAGTGTAAGTGTTTTAACAATAGACATTTTGTGCGACTATTTTGAGTGTTTCATAGGCGGCTCTAGTAATCCACCAACAAAATGCTGCAATTATACAAGGTATGAAATTTGGTAACTTCTTTAAATAGCGATCAGATTAAGCGTCTTTTCTACTATTTTTCGCACATTTTGTACTATATTATTGGGGGTATATAATGAAATGTATGAATGTGTTATAGCTTATTGGTTTACTTAATTAACGCGAAAAAATTGATATTATACCTGCCCGAAAGTAGTATAAACATCCACATACTCATCACAGGACCCAATTGGTTCTTTTAACCCAATCGCAACTTCATCTTCCGGTTTGAAAAAGATGGTCATTGCTAGAAAAAGACTATAGTGTATTAGCAAATGTACTAGTAGTAAACCAGTTGACCAATCTAATTCGACCTGTTTTTGAAATTCTTTTTGATTTGTATTACGCATTCCAAGCCATATTAGAAGCAAAAAAATTGCGAAAAGTATAAAAAAAGTTACTTCCGAATGTACTCTGTAATTATCGTGTAGAGGATGATATATAGGTAGAAACATTAAAACACCTCCTGGCACCCCCAAAAGGCCTGTTAGAATGGTACATGCAAATTCTCTAGGAAAGCTGGAAGAAATTAGGTTTTCGTATGCGTGCGTATGATGGTATGACCAACACTTTACCCAGTATATTTCAGTGTTTTACTTACGTATCAGGTTGCCATTTTTCTTTAGTTTTACAAATTAATTTTCTTGTAAAGTGGAACCAAAAGATGAAACTTGCGGCGAATGTTGCGTGAAAATAATAAGAATTCCAAGGTACCCAGTAGTGCCTATCTGCTATATTTGGATCAGTATCATGCCATGTCCAATGCAAAAAATGTACAGACACAATATCATACGGAATATCTATCAGTACAACTCCTAAACCGACTGCAAAGGGTTCTGACCATTTAGGTAACCGCATTTTTGCAACAGCAATAGACGCATTGTACAAAAACACTGGATCTGAATTTATTAAGAAATAAAAAAAAATAAGTTTTTAGTATTTACGCGTGGTTGTAAGTGTTAAACTTACAAAGAAGTAAAATGTGAAGAGGTAAACGCCTTCCCAGTAAAATTATAGGGGTCTGAGAATGCCAAAAGTTATCAACGTCCGGTAAAAAATAAGATAATGCTTCAACTATAAGCCCATGTAAAATAATACCAAACCACAAATACGGTAATCTACCACCGTGCTTTAACGCTAAAATGTTAGAGATTTGTGCAGTAATTTTCACAATTTCGTATTTGTATTCTAGTAGATTGGGTACTTACCATGAATAAAGGTAAATATTCCACCAACAATAAATGTAGTTTGTGATAAGACATATGTAGGTTGAGTTTTCCAATGGAAACTTAAGTCTTCGACGTGTACAAACCAATCCCAAAACTGAAGTAAACAAAAACTGATTTACAAATTATAAACTTATTCCTTCCTAACTAAAGTCAAATATTGTTAAAAATTTTGCATACATATAATATAAAGTTATTCAATGTTAGAGTTGAAATTTTATAGGAATGAAAATTACTTTAAAAGTTTTATTTGCCTCATCAAAATATTATACTTACAACTACTTACTTTTGCAAAATGGAACTGAAACTCATTACACATTCACTATTAATTAATTACTTTTTATATATGACAAATTTAAACGTTTTTTGTTTTATTATATCCAAGTTTAATATATTTTTGAGCTTCACCAATTCATTTTGTATCACTTACCCCTGTAAAGTTTAATTTAGATGCTTCTGCACCAATCCTGTACAAGTCGTTTTTACCACTCACCATTTTTTAAAAACCGACAATTACTAACACGTGTAAGGCATAAGTTGTAATAAGTTGATCTGTATGAAATAATCGAACCTTGACTTCCTTTTTATCAGTTTATTAGATAGATAAACTCGAACAAGTTAAGATAATGACCAGTAAATTAATACAGCTGCGAAAACTGCGACAAATGTTGACAAAACAACTACCAAACCCTGATATTTAACACATGCGCTTTGCTCTTCAGTTTCACTGATGCGAGTTCTTTTTGAAAATTTCTTTCTGCCTTGGAATTTCTTCTCATATTTCTCTAGTTCTTTGAGATTTTTAAGTTCTTGATGTCTCTTTATTAGTTCGTTTTCGAAATCTCTGAAGCGTTTTTCCTCTTCCATCTTTTGACGACAAGTTTCGTCGCAGTCCACTTTTGCACCCCCATTTCGGACTGTTTCGCAAGAAAATTCTTTTTTAATACGTTTACAGACGCACGACAGTTTAACCTTTTTCTTGCATAGATCTGCATTTGGACAAGGTCCAGGGTGACAATTCGCTTTACATCGGTGACCGCAGTTGTACTAAAAGAATATAATGAATTTGAAATCATTTTTGAAAAAGAAATGAAATTTCAGAAGGAACCGGAGTTAAAAAATTGTGGTCTGTAACAATCCCAATTATTAAACCTACGTTTGTAACAACAAAAAAAAGTAACCCTTATAATTGCCTCCGTTTCCCTCCTTAATTTACAGTAAATTTGTTGTTCACAATGGCAAAAATTAATTATAACAACTCTTACGTTTTTGGGGCATTGATTTCCACAGCTTTGCAAATTTTCCTTTTTTTCTGGTACAATCCAATCTTTACAAGAGACATAAGGTTGCGTAAGCCCACAATAGCATTTGATACGAATCATTTGTTTGCATGGGGGACAAGGTCCTGGATGGCACGGCATAGGACAGGCGTGGTTACAACCTTCAGGCCTGGGTTTGTCACAACCCTTTTCGCACTGTTCACAATTTGATCCAGACTAGACAAAAATATACAATACCAATTACTGCGAGTTAATTCTGGTGTGTAAAATTACCTGTAATTCATCAGGGGCATTTTCAACTGTATGACATTGAAAGGAACAGGTGTGATTTCCACAAAGTAATCTCCTGTCACACGGTCTGTGACAACTTGAGGGCTTTGCTAAGTGACAGGGCCAATTTAACGTTTCGTGATTTCCTTTAAAACAAAAAGGCCGTAGGGCGATAAATATAGTGAATCGTCTCCCACAGGATGTTTCACTAACAGTTAGGATAAATAAATAGAGTCTTGAAAGTTCCAAAGGAAACGTTAAACAATTTATACTGTTAAGAAATGACCAAATGCTTTGAATCTACTATAGTAACAAAATACTAAAATTTTGTTCATTTTTGTTTATCCTAAAAATATGAGCGAAATATCTTATAGGAAAAAATTCACTATTCTTATCGCCCTCTGACCTTTGTGAATTTTCATGTATAACACTTTTAATAAGCCAATTCATTAATTATTCAATTGATTAACGAGCCATTGGGTTAATTTTTGGATAAGCAATGTTATTTACACTATCAATTACATACTTTTAGCCTACTAATTAATTAATTAGTTTAGAATATAAAACACTACTTTTAACTTACCGAAACATGTAACGGGAACAGGGACGATGCAATCGGGACATGGGAGTTCTCTCTTTTCATAGTATGGTCCTGTTTGTTCCCAGGGCATAGACCCCTTCTCACCCTCAACTTTTACAACAACAGCAGAGTGACAAGGGGCTGGGCACGGATGGGGACAATTGGGACGATTCTTATTACAGATTTGACGACAAGGAGGGCAATTACCGGGGTGGCAACGATGTTTTTCGCGTTTTCCATGATGACAATCTGGCGGAATGCTAGAAAGATGAGATAGTTAACTAACAATTTAATTTTTGTGTTTGCTAATGTATTTATGTTCAAATTGAAGTAACAAGAGGTAGAAAGTGTGGGCCCTTATTTTTGAACACTTTATGTAACAATCGTAGGAAGGCTGAAAAAACGTACTTGCAAAGTTGATTACACCTGGGAAGCCTTGTTTTTCCTTTTTTTCCACAAGGAACTTCGACGGACGTAAATCCACAAGGACACGAAACTTTTTCTGTTAAATTGCACGGATAACATGGGCCCTTATGGCAAACAGAAGTACATTTATGGTTTCCGCAATTTAACGATCTGCCACACAGTTTTTCACAGGGGGGGCAATTTCCGTCGCAACACTAGAATAAATAAAATTATGAAGACATGTAACAGTGCATATTACCTACATAATACATACCTTTCGATTACAAGGATGTTTCCTGCAATCTTTAATTTTTTTACATTTGGTTTCACACAGAAACTGTTTTCTGCATTGCACTTCGCGTGTATAATGTCCACAGCGACAAGATTTGGTAACGGTTTCCAAACACTACAGAATTATATAAATGTTTCAACTAATTTCAAACACACAAATGCATACTTACAATTCCACATTTGTCTTTGTGACATCTCTGATTGCAAATGTGAACACCACATTCAAGCAATTTGCCACAAGTGTCCCCACAACATGGTGTTTCCTCAGTACATGGTAAAACAAACGATGCTTTACCACAAGGGCATGTTCTGGGTTTTGTTAATATACATTCTTCACAGTCTCCCAATATGTGACACTTCTTTGAACAATTATGATTACCACAGGCCAAGGGTTTGTTACAAACCTATTTCAAATATAAGATGCAATTTATTATATCATTTACCAAAAAATCAGTCAATTTCAAATTAAATACTCAATGTTGAATGTTTTACCTTTTCACACTGCCACAATGGAGTAGCACAGTCCCTTAATTTCTGTGTATAGCCACAAAGACATTTCTGAATACTTTTCTTTAGACAGGGTGGACAATCACCTGCATGACATTGCTTTGGGCAATTATGTTTGCCACAAATGAGTAACTTGTTACAAGCCAAATTACAGGACCATTCTTTATTGCTACATCTTTGAGACCTTGGTGCTCGTCTTCCACAATAGCAAGCAACTTGTACTGTCTTTGGACATGGAGGACAAGGACCTTGCATTAAAAAAAGTATAATTAGTAGTTCAAAAAAGATAATTATGCCTTGTGATTACCTGGGTGACATAACAGAACACATTTATGTCCACAAAAAGGTTTCAAATCTTTTCTGCAAGTTTCACCACACGAATGGGGTGCTAAAAATTGCTCAGGCTTTGGATTTTCTGTCTTGCCACAATAGCAAATGTATTTACTAGGAATATCAGAAGGTTGATAATCAGTTCTGCATTTAGGACAGCTCCATAATATTTCTATTGCAGATTTCACAGGTATTTGATCTAATAATGCTTGCTTCTTCTGATAAATGGTATCTTTCGACCATCTTTGGATACATGTTAAATGGAAAAATGCATAACATTCCCAGCAACTCCAAATCTAATACAATGATTAGATAAAACATTAAAATTTTCAAATAAAATTGAACTTACTGAATCAGCTCTTTTAACTGTTGATATGCATATTAAACAGACTGTATTTCCTGCAGAAAATCTATCTACTATGGATCCTTTAGTTTTAGTTAAAACATCTGTATTCTTATCATGAACATAATCTTTCAATATTGAATCTGAAAATAATTCTTGTTGTATTAAAGTTGACGATACTAAAAATACAAAATCTACCTATTATATTTTCATCTTCAAATTCTTCGTCCTCTGAAGATTCCACGTCTTTAGCATATTTTTGAACAGCTGCTTGCAGTTTTTTTTGAGCCTCTTGAAACTTTGATTCAGAACCTTTTACAGCATTTTTAGTATGGTTGTTTTTGTGAAAATCTTTACTAAGATGATTTTTATTCCACGGATTTTTATTTTGACTTCCAAAATTATTCATTATGTTTTATTTTATGGAATACAAAACACAAAAACTAAAATTTACACACATCATTGACATTTTGTGATACACTTAACCTAAATGACCTAAAACGTCAGAAATTGAGCAGAAATCTGTCTAAACATCTCAACTGTTTCATGGTAGATGTCTCTTTGTGAAATTTTTGTGAAAAGTCCCTATTTTGGGTATTTTTTACCTCCATATTTAAATATACGCGAGTATTTGAAATAATTATATAATATCAAAAGTATGCATTTAATATTTGTTAATAATCCGAAGACTAAGTTCGAAATTAACCTTGATTTATGAACATCATCAATTAATAAAAACAAAATAAGCAATATTTTTAAAACATTTTATTGAAACATTTTTCCACCTTTTTAATACATTAAGATACATTTTTACGAATATTTTTAACTCTACATGCAAGTAAAAAATACTTAATCAAATAATTAAATTAACAATCCAATAAACTAACTATTGTTACACACCGATTGCAATGATAATTAGGCCTAATTTACACAAGTAATATATTACCACGGTAAACATTTAAAAGTAGATATGAAAACTTTTTAACATTGTTCTTCGTAGTTTTTTGTTATTATTATTTTAAATAATGATATTACTTTAAATCTAAGACAAAATTTGGTACAACGATGGCCATTAGTATAGGGACAATTCATGTCTGATATATTATACTATATTTTACCATTTATTTATTTCGAGCTACCCTAAAACGACTAATTATTACTTCGATGTTTTTATCAATAAAGGGTGTAATTAAGTAAATTTATCCAATGCCATTGAAGATCAGAGAAGAATACAATAGGAAAAATTAACAGTTGAATAACAAATTGTAAATCTAATGCATGTTTGATAACAATAAGTTGTTTTTGTTTTAATTTCTTCTTTTTGGGGGAATTTCAAACATCGTTAGGATAGCTCGTACGGGTTTGATTAGGAATTAATTTAGATAGTAGGGGATGAATCTAAACAGAGGAATGCATAAAATGCAAGGGGAGAGGGCAGTGAAGTGTGACATCAAAATCTGCTAGAATCGAATCGATGTATTTTGTGATGATGTTTGAAGATAATGAATATTCTAATTTTAATGCAATTGTAAATTCATTAATTTATTTTCGATTCTCTATCCCCTTCGTCCGCTTTACTGACGGTTGCGGCGGGTGGCTGAAACNGTACGTATGTACGTACGTTCGTATGTCAGCATTTTTTTCGTTTTCGATATCTCAAGAACGGATTGAGATATCGCCCTCAACCAAAATTTTTTCGAAAGATATTATCATAATGAAGATCTGAAAGAAATTTGAACGAAATCGGTCAAGCCGTTTTTTTTTTATAAAAAAAAAAACGAATTAATTACAAACAATTTAATTAAAATACGTTCTAATCTAATCACAACAATGAAGTTACGGAATCAATAATAACGAAATATCATTATTCAAGACAGGGAATAACATATTATAATAACATATTATAATAAAAATTTGTTTATAACAAAATGAATTGTTATAAACAATCGATAAACAATAAAAAATAGTATTTACCAATTGACTGATGCAAGTACTCTATCAATTCGGTTTTCTCAGACGAAATACTGTTTCTTATGGGTTTATAAAATGACGAACTCTCAAACATTGTTTGTTATTTATTATTGTGCCGCGTTTTTTTCAAACTTTAGAAACGAATGTACTTTACAATAACTGTATTATCTAATGGGAAGTTAGTCGTATTAGCACCGATCAAAGTGTGCTCAGACCAATTTTTTAATCATGTTACAGGTGGCTTGCAATATATTTCATATTAATCGAAATTGCATTCATGGCTTAGTAATGTTTATTACGTGTATGATAATAATAGTAAATAATATCTAGTCAGTTCAAATTTCAAAATTAAATTCTGATTATGTTCAACCCTTAAAATGGGTAGAGATTTATTGAAGGGATATTCATAAAATAAATATTAAAGTACTAGCATAGAATATTTTTTCTTGTACGTATTTAGAAAGTAATTCATTTCTGTATAAACTTTGATAAAGGTGTGTCAATTAACCAAATTCCAAAACTAGAGAAAGGGTAAAGACCATTTGAGGAGGGTAACGACGATTATGTGAAGTTCTCCTTAACTCTTTACCGCCTTTGTCTTTTGTTACATCTCCGGTAATTTATAAGGATTAACCAGACGGAAGCATTAAAGGTATTTTAAATGGTTTACTAAGCACTTGCAAGTCACTAATCTTTCTTCAAACCTCTCGTAAATCACACAATTGTAGGTCAACAAACTACGGTGAGCGTGAAATTAAACCGAATTGACTTTGAGAATTTCACCATAATAATTCTTGTTGACGCGTCTTCAAGTCACGAAGAACTGCGATCCAATTTTCTCCATGCTAAAGACACGATGATGATGATGATTTAAGTCTGTTTTATATAAAAAGACGCACAATTTGCATATTTTACATTAAACAGGTCATAGAGAACCAAGTGTTTCAATTTACTAGCTCGTTAAATGTCCAAAGGAGAAGTGGAGTGCGTCTTGTAATATCTTTTGAACAGAGCGTACCGTTTTTAATTCAGTCACTGAATAGACTATAATTTTGTGCAGGTCGTGCTCTTCATTATTGATGACTTCTTTTCATTATTAAAATTAATTTTCTCGTCTTTGCTCGCCTCGGTCGACGAGAAAAAAAAGAATTTGTCGCGTCTGCATCATCGCCATCTTTAATTTATATCTCTTCTTTTGGAACAGCGACGAAGATGTAGCGACGACGTTGTGATCTCACGAAAGGTCTTTTTACAATTTTAAATTACTTTTTCGTCGCTTCGTTTCTTAATCAGTTTATTACTACAAGGTTGTTAATAATGCAACTTTTAATCATATTAATGAATGAATATTATATTTCAGTACTTTAATGCTTAGTACTTCTACAGCAGTATTAGCATCTAGCAAAGAGGACCTAGAGATAGCTTTAAATAAAATGGAAGCGCAAATGACAGATCAGTACTGTATGAAAATAAATAAAAGTAAAAATAAAATACTGGTATGCAAGGGAAGAAAAAGTAGGGAAAGAGCGAATATAAAGAT